TTATTAAATTTCTTAGTCCCTTTCATATGAATCGATAGAGTCTTCAGAACAGCCGTCCATTTTCTAATTTGTGAAAAAACATTAGAAAATCGAATCATTTTTCATGTTTTGTTACCTTTTTTTCTAGAAAATTAGTCGATTTTTCAAAAAATGAAAAAAATTTTCACTTTTATAGAAAATCAAAAAGGATTTTACATATAAGAGAAAATTGGCAATCGTTTTTCTAATCAGTAAAAAATCAATTTAACAGAAATCAAATTCATTTTCTATAAAAAAGAAAATCTGCGTTTTCCGTTTTGCTCAAAAATCGTCGAATATTTTATATATGGCTGGCAAAATGTAGGTTACAACTGAAGGGTTTCCAACAAAGCTCTCTTAACTTTTAATCAAATCGTCGCTGCGAGTTAGGAGGCGATTCGTTTTAATCAGAAATGTTTACTTTACAAATTTGACATAATAGAAATGTTTTTTATTTTGTTTGTCTATGTAACCTGCAGAATGTTTCAAAGAATCAGTTCAAGGCTATAAAAAAAACGATTTGGTAAGTCAATATTATTGTTATAACAGAAAATCGCTTTTAAAATAATCATTTCTGTAAAAATAATCTTCCTAGCTAATAAACAATCGATCACACAATGACGCTCTTTTTACTAGGAGTTGATTGTTCGTGAATAATACAAAGAGAAAATTAAAATTAAAATAGAAGAGAGCCAACAGGTGTAGTTAATGGAATTTCGAGTTCTTAACCGCAGCAGTTGTTGGTTACATTGTATTTTATATAAAGAAAACTTTTATTTATTGTAAATATTTTCGATACATGTATGGCTCGATGATAGGACGGAAACATCGGTTAACAAATAAAATGTGTGTTGACAGAAAATAAAATGTATCCAATAACTGTTGTTGGTGAAAACGCACAATTAGAAAATTGAAAAACTACGTTTTAGAGCCGCTGGATGCATTCTTTACTAAGTACACGTAAAATAATAAGCCTTAGAAAAATTACTAAAGTGTTAGTAATGATGAAAGCTATAGTTTTTGTAAGACATCTATTTCAGTTTTACTGATACAGAAAAATTCCGTTTTAAAATAAACTATCGATAGAATTGCTGATTTGGGGCAGCAAGAAATTTTTTAAAACATGTATAGCACCAATGGTACAGAAAAAACAAATTTATGTTTGATAATAATTGTGGAACAACAATTTATGGAAAGTTTTGACACACAAGATGCAGCAAAACAGGATTTTACATCAACATCAATGCACACAAAATCAAACTTAGACAAAATCATACAACAAATTCAAAAAATTTCTGGTGATCATAAACAGGACCCACCGAATTGGTTAACTAGTATTAGTAATTCTCAAAAGTGGGGTTTATTGTTAAAGATCAAATCTGTGAACCAAAACCGAACATTATGATAGACCATTGCCAACGATCGTAAGGGATATCAAAAAGAAGTTCTATTATAATCACAGAATGCATTGACGAGGATCTGTTGAAGTCGAGCTTTATCAGATCGATTCTGCAAATTCCAGTAAAGCCTCGATACGAGTCAAATCTCAGACCGTATGTGAAGAACTCGAGTCTCACTTAGAAAGTACATGCTGAAGCTCGTTTCTTGAGTGTTAACTGTCCGCCGTTTTGGCGACCCAACCGAAGCAAAAGAATTGATTTAGGTTATCTTTGTAACTTATGTTGTTCAGTAGCTAAAAGCATATCTTTCCTCGTGATTTGTTATAGCACTTTCCTTTTCTTTTGTCTGAAAATTTTTTTCTTAAAAACCAAATCGGTTTGTTAAAAAGCTTCGTTTTGCTTTTTGTACTACTATGTATGTAATTCAGCAGATTATTTAATTGCAAGAATAAAATCTGGACTGTGATCCAAACCAACGCGACATGTTGCACAAAAAGTAAGAAGCACAAAAGACTAGCTGAAAAGACATAGCTGAGACGGGATCCAAACCTGCGGTCTTCCAATTACATATCGGCTGCTCTATCAACTGAGCTACCGGTCAGTCGCAACCCCTAAGTGATTGTATATCAAGTCTTGATAAAATGTATCAGAACAGTAGTGATCCGCACATATCTCCCTCTGCTGGACAAGGACTTGTCCCCACTCAGTCAATATAATCTTTTAGGACTACTCACTTGTCCACGACTGTTACCACAGGACAGCAATGAAACTTCACGCTTTTCTATCGATCATCCGACATTCGATGATGAGGTGTTTTCCTAATGATTCTTCCATCGTCTTGTTTCGTCTCCTCCTCGTAAGAAGAAAGTAAAAAATAAGGCACAATTTAATCGTGGCTACAACAGAAAAATCAGCGATAACGAATGAATGTTCAGTTTTGGGCATGGAGGAGAACATTAGGTCATTATAATTGCTGCTGATTTGAATATCTCATAATTGGATGCACTCTTGAAGAAATAAAGAGATAGATCTTCCTAGCAAACGTTTTCATATCTCCTGAACGGCTAAATCTAGGGGTCTCGGCTTCGTGTATTTTGATAGAAAAGCTTTGAGCTATTATTTAATCATTGTATTACAATTGAAGAATCCATAACGGCTTTCGTACGTCAAAACTAACTAGGTGTCTTACCAGAGAAAACAAGAGTTTCTGTCTAACATGCAAAATCATAAAGAAATGTTTCATGTACAAAATGATGGAAATTCGAGCTTCATAGCGCTTTTCGAGGGTGTAAGTAAGATAGAAAATCTTGATTTCTCTGTTGAGGCACCTCGTTAGTCTATAATCATGGTACCTTTCATCACTGTTAACAGTTTTCAAATACACACCATATTTCAAAAAGAACGCTCTTGGTTGTTTGATCAGATAGCCGATACAAAATAAAATAAATCAAGGACTATCTGTTCTTTTTCCTTTTCCATCTGCTCATCATTCTATTGTGATGTTTTTACATTTTTTGTGCAGTTGTTTTTTTTCATTCAGTGCCGTTAGTGTAACTAACTACAGTGCATTTTTTGTCTGAATATTTTGCTTACATTTTCTTTCACTTTACGCTTGGAAAAAACATATTCCTCTTTTTTTGTCTTTTCTTTCTCTTATTTGACATAAACAAATCAATCAGTTTTGAAAAAAAGTCAATTTTTCTGCAAACATGCAGGTATTATTTATTGGTAATTATAAAATCTTCAGATGTTCGTCATTTATAGATGTCTTACCAACGCATACAGTCCCAAGCAAAAAATCATACATGAAAATATCTAGGTATTTTATCGTTGTATTAGGCAATACTACTATGAAATATCTAGGTATAGGTGTCAGTTTTATAGCGTTATCTAGATATATTGGGCATGATATCGGTGACCTCTCGAATGAGAACAGTTTTCTTAATAATGTTTCAAGTGAGAACATTTATAAACCGTGCATTCTTGAAGGAGAACATTTTTGTCATATATATTCTCAAAGGAGAACAGTTGGAAATTTGAAGATAGCAGATAAAGAGCTCCCCCTCTCTCAGAAATTATCTCCAACACCGTACATCTGATCTTGACGAAACTTTCCGTAAGTATACAACATGATGGAAACTTAGTTATCTTATCAGAAAATGGCCCAATATGGGCAACGAGCACAAATGGCCATGGCAATGGTCCATATCGTTTGTCGATGCAAGATGATCGAAATCTGGTTCTTTATGATAAAGATAAAAAATCACTATGGGTATCAAATATAGTTTTTAGTAGTCGTAATGGTGGTATGTATATTTCAGCGATTTGTTTCAAGAAATACGTTGCTATGCGTCGAAACATGGTGAACCTTTTGGAGCACACCAACCGGTGCTGAAAAGATTAATTTCATCAAAATCGATCATTTTTGAGGGAGAGACGAGGTTTGAAGTTTGAAAATGGATTTTGGAAGCCGGGTTGTTCCTAGCCACTGGTGTTTTCGTCGGAAGTGTGCCAGGGTATATATGAAGGCTTGCCCCATATGTCGAGACCTATCTAATCCGAAAGAGCATCAAATTGGGAGTAAATATATGCTGTTTTAAAATTTTTAAACATCGTCACGAGATCCGGGGATTTCGCTTTTTGTGCTCCAGACGGCTGCAGAGGAACCAATTTTCTTCGAAGTGGTTCATCCGCTGGTCTTGTCCACATTCCTTGCATATAAAGCCAAAAACGGGTAGAGTGTAAGAAAAGATAGGTCTGGAACTGATGATAGGTTAGGGTGACAATCAGACAGGTAAAGGAACAACAAGAATGGATTGAAACGAAGAAAGAAGAAGAAGAACACGAGTTTAAGCGATCAAGACAACGAACAACTTGAGATACTGTGATCCCAAAATTAGAACGAAGAGTAAAAATGCGATACTCAGCAACAACACTGTCAAAATCACTCACTATCTCCAGACCTATCTCCCAAACCGGGTTCCAGACCACTTTCTAGAAGAGAGAAATCACTATTTTAAAAGGATCAATCCACGAGCGCAAAAAACGGACGATAATTTGAGCTGAAGGAAAAGATTTTCTCTTTATTTTATCAATGGTCGATTCCAGTTTTTTTATCTCTAGCAAGACAAATAGTCAGTGGTGTTGGCATGCAGCTCGTACCACCAGGATATCCGAATTCAGGAGAACGTGGAGAAAGTCACATTTTTTCCACTTCTCATAAAATGTCTAAAAATGAAGGTGAGATAAATTCTGCTGTAGTTATTCTGAAGCAGAGACATGACCTGACCGATTGACAAAAGAATTAGCTAATTACAATCTCTTCCTAGAGTAATTCTTTGGGTAATATACCAGAGTTTATATGAAAGCTTGTCGTATAGGTCGAGGCCTATCTAATTCGAAGAGCATCAAACTCAGAGTGAAGAAATACTATTTTAAAATTGTTAAACCTCGTCAAGAGACTTGACGGTAATCAATTGACCTTGACTATTGTTCACAACCGATGCATGTGGGCATCCTCTGATGCTCGGACAGACACAGTCCTCAAAAGTTCTTGGCAACATCGTTATTCTGGTACCACCATCAAGGTGGATTATTGTAAAAATGTGTGTAGAAATTAGTAAACAAACCGGACACGAACTCATTGCCGGCTGTTGTGCGTTGTATGGCAAGTAAACTGTGAGCTAGTGTCGATTGAACTGTGGCTACAGAACAATCGGGAGCTGTGCGAGCTTTAATTTGAACGAGTTGTTCGCCAATGGCCATCAGACTGACGAGGGAACCTCCCGAGGTGTCCATCTCGGATTTTTTTCATTCATATGCCAATCGATAGGTCACATAGAGATATGAAAAAGCCTCAAAGGATATCGGCGCAATTTGCTTCCTTCTAGAGTTATTCA